CAACTTTCAGACTTGTATTCTCTTCGTTGTATGTCTCCTTCACATTTTAAAAAAAGAAACCCTGCAAAAAATTAACAAAACTATAAGCAAATCCACACAAACAGAATATCATAAATGATATCAAACTATAAGAGAGCCAATGTGGATGACACAAACTATAATCTCATATGACTATTAGAGAAGCATTTCACGAGATAATAAGTACCTCTGCAAGACTATTTATAACATAGCAATAAGAACAACACGAGCATGATCTAAGAATAAGAGCTAAGACTCTTTGCAAGACTATTTATAACAGAGCAAGAACAAGACTATTTGCCACACAGCCTAAAGGCAGCTACAGGTTTAGAGAAGAGATAACGCAACACTAAGCCGGTGAACAAGAAAGAGCGTTCAAAAAGTTATTTTTGAGCTAAACGAAGAAGAAGTTCTGATATAAAGTTACCTATTACCAGAAGGTGGAACAGAGCAAACCAGTACAGCTCCTGAAAGTTCTGGAAATGCATCGCTTATTGTTTAGGCATTATTGCATTATTGGAAGAGGTATTGTTCTTTCATAGACTTCTGCCGAGTCAGATTGCTTCCGGCGGTTTCAATATAGCTGATAGTTACCTGATCAAAGACAAAGGATCTAACAGCTATATGTCAGTGTGCTATTAGCATATACGAAAGACTCAAGATGAGCAACGCATAAACTACCTCTGAATCCTTTGGTATGTACTCCATAGCTCGAATAACAGCCATCTGTTCTTCGAACACCAAAATCGCATTGGGAGCGCAGCTACACAGATAAAAAGTTTCAAGCAGGAAACGAGCTGGTTAATGATGGAAACAGAACACGAACAAAAAAGATCAGTGAAGCAATTACCTGTGATTAATGATGGAAACCAAGGGATACAATCCTATCCCCTGAGGTCTCAATTCGCTATCACAAATGCTATGAGCATTGCATGAGAACTGCCATCAGAAGAAACGAAAGTAATTTAAATACTCCGCGGTAAACAACATTCCTATAATCACCAACCTATCCTAATACATAAACTATAGACAACTATTCAACGGCAGCAAGGAAAAGGACTCATACCGGCTGATGGGGAGATATGGCGTAGAAGAAGACGTGCGATTGTGCCTGCATTGCATATGAAGGTAACCAAAAAGTATGAGTCTTTTTCTTTTTCAAGTTGTGAAAGTCATTTGTTTTACCTTTCTTCTGTGTTGTTAAGTATGTAGCAGCTATGATCAGCTTATTTGGAGAAGCTTCAGATAGGCTTTGCCAGAAGCTTGATTCTCTGCAACTTCAGGGGAAGAAGTAGAGATGGAATCACTCTTCTCTCGTCACGAAAGCAAGAAATATTGATGAAGCGACTTCAGCTTCATCCTTCACCATATCATTTTGATTCTGCATCGTCACTATAACAAAACTCTATCTAGCTCAGCTTGATCTAAATCAATTTCAAATCCAGAAATTTCAAACCCACGATTTGACACAAAACAGTGAAGAGTTTCTTGTAATCAGCTGATTGTCAGTGAAACAAAATTCAGAGATAATTCATTCTAACTATAGAAATCCACAAATCTGACAAGATAAACTCCGAATCAACAACTCTCATACACATATTCCAAATACAGAAAAGAGAAACGGAGATGAAGATATAAAAAATATCAATGGCGGATGATAAAGAGATAAGAGAACCGATTTACCTAAATTCTCAGAGGTTAATACAATACAATAGGAAGAAGAATCAAGAGAAGTTTCTCATATACACCCGAAATCGAAATTGCATAAACAAATTCACCTAATGGAACTCGATGGCTCGTTTTGCGACTTCGCCAACTCTGATTCAACAATAACTAAGAGGAAGAGCAATTCGAGCAAGTAGAACACGAAATAGAGGTCGATTTCACAAGTAGAGACCAGAATCACAAGCGAAATCACTCAACATGCAATTAGACTAAAATCACAAGCAAAATCTCAAAATCTCAAAATCGCAAGTACTAAGTTCAGCGATACCTGAGTACTGAGTTCAGCGATGGTGATGATCGGAAACAATTGACAACCTCTGCGATGATGATTTGATGGAGATCGAGATCGAGCTAGCGTGAAGCTGAGAGAGATCTGAATTTTTTTTTTCTGTTTTTTCTATTATTGTTTAATGGAAATATGTTCTTTTTAAGTCAAACCATTATTATTGATTTTTAAAAATCCTGAAAATACTGATTTTTAGCATCATTTACTTATAAGTGATACTAAAAACTGTTTATTTGTATCTAGATTAAATGATATAAAAGTCTAATTATTTGTATCATTTGTTTACAAATGATTTGTAAAATGTAACTATTTTTGTTTTAGTGTCATTTTGAACAAGTGATACTTTCTAATTTTGATTAATTTTTAAGTTAACATCATTTTAACAAATGATACAAAATAAACGACACTAATAAATGTTTTTCTTGTAGTAGAATATGTATGTAAACTAAATATCCTAAAATTGTATGAAATAGGTTATATAAACTCCTATTTAAAAAAAATCTTATTAGTACATGTAATAGGTATGTAAACTAAATATCCTAAAACTGTATGAAATTGGTTACATGAACCCCTATAAAAAGAAGAAATAATTAAAAAATGTTACATCCAATAAGAAAAGGAATAAAAAAACACATTCCCATTACGAAAATGAAAAAAAAAAAATATATAACAAGCTATATTTTTTAAGTTTCTTTCTCATTAAGAAATAAAATTCATGTCTTTAAAAGTTAAAGATATCAATGAAGAATACTTAACTTTAGATCGATATATGTGTCTAATATTTGATGAAGTGATGACATGTGTCAACACAAGAAAATTGGAAAAATGTAGTAACATAAATAAATAAACTAACAAAATAATATTAAAACAACTAACTAATAATGAAAATGAAAATTTATAATGGTCAGAGGCAAAAACAAAATCGAAAAAGAAACAATATAAATAGAAAACTAACAAAATAACTATTAAGGAACTAAATAATGATTAAAAAAGAAAATTTTATAATGGACTGATCTTCTAATATTATATAGTTTAATTTTCCATGTTTTGATAGCTAAAACAATATTAAAAATAAAATTTCATCATGGAATAATCAAAGTTTCATAAAATAATGAGTCGATTAGATTTAGACACATGTAAATCTTTTCTATTTCATATCATGAATTCAAAATAAAAATGTAAAAGACTACATATCTTTATTTAGAGATTTGTTATCGGGTTTTTAATATTATTTTCTTATTTTTAAAATTGATCAAATTTTGTTTAATATTCTTCCGTGATTTAAAAAATAAAAATAAATAAACCCGCGTATACGCGGGGCCTAATCTAGTCTTATTATATAAAGCTGGATGCGCACGACGTGGTTGCGACACGTAGGATTTTTATAAAATTCAAGATCACGACATGTGTCTTAAAAAAAAAGGAGAACTTAAAAAAAAATTCAGATAAATGTTAATTAAAAATAAAACGAATTTTAATTTAATCTATTATATCAAAAAGGAAAAAATAATATTTGTCATACCCAAACAGAAAAAGCTTTCCCATTCATCAAATTTTTTTATTTTATAAAGTTGGATGCTTTTAGATAAAAGAATTTTTAAAAAAATTAATCAATTACAGTTAAAAGAAATAAAAATATATTTGTCATATCATCAAATTAATATTATCCAAACAAATAATAAATAAAATCCTATTTGTATAATGTTATGTAATCAAATTAAATATTATCCAAACAAATAATAAAATCAAAATAATGTAATAAATAAAATCATATTTGTATAATGAAATAAATAATGTTATGTAAACAAAATTTCATATAACGGGATGTAATAGGTTACTTGAATCCATATAAAAGAGAGTCAAAGTTTCTCAATCATAAATTCATCAAAGTAAATTCATCAGATCCCTTTGATTCTATTTCTCCAATTAAAAAATCATATTTTTGACAGTTTTGCGATACATATGATTTTTATAACTCACAAAAATTGTGACATTTGTTTTAGAAATTTTTTTTATGAAAGTATGAAAAAATAACAAATCCATTAATATTGATATTTTTTCATTTTGTTTTAATTAAAATGAAAAAATAATAAATCCATTAAAAGTAATAAAAAAAACAGAAAACAAATAATTTAAATTCTTTTGTTACATCTATTAAGAAAAGGAAAAAAAATGCATTTCGAAAAGGAAAAATATCAATATATATTATTTATAATGGTATGAGGAAGCAAAACAAAATTGAGAAAGAAAAAATATAAATAGAAAACTAACAAAATAATATTCAAGCAATTAACTAAAATTAAAAAATTATAATCGATATTCTAATTTTAAATAGTTTGATTTTCAATTTTTGTTAGGTAAAAGAAATTGAAATAAAGATTTCATCAATTAAAATCTCTTGGAATAATAAAAGTTTGATTAATTAATCAGTTGATCTGTATAAAATAATATTCTTTCTTACATTGCCACGTGGCACTTCTCTTATTAAAAAAAAAAAATCACACATTAATGCAATTAAAATTCTCTTTACTTTCTCCGTCTCTTCAGCTTTCGAACCAAGAAGCGAGCGTAGCGACTTTATGATGGAGTAGCTGTAAGAAAAATGGAGAAATAGTCACAGAACAACCCACAAGGAAATGGTTAAAACGGTTGGGATGAGAGTTCTCATACATCTTCATCTGCTAGATTAAGGGGCAGCCCAACGACGTAAACAAGATTCTTTTGAATGACCCGCACACTGGTGAGTTGCTTTTTCCCTTCAAAAGGGTTCGATTTTGACTTTTGAACCTACTTGCGCTCCATGTTACCTTCAGAGGCCAGACTGTGTGCAGGTAATTATAGACAATTTATCAGCAAAAGAAAGTGGAAAAAGACTGTCCCATAGTAAAATTAAATTCGCCAAAAAGATTGCATATAAAGCATCATTACAAACCTGTCGCAATTAACAGTCATCCCAACAATCTTTTCTTTGTCATATGGAGTGCGACAAGCTGGACCACGCCCTTCTATTTGATATTTCTCTGCCATGTCCACTATGTGATGCTAACACCAAACACATCTGATTCACACGCACAAAATTATTAAAAGAACAAATATCATTGGTCAATGAGGCCAGTAAACGATCACTTCTGTCAGTAAACAACAGCAGAAACGTAAGGCTAAACCAAGAAAAGTATGTCTTAACAGTCCTCACATAGTTATAAGAGTAAGCAATTGCATGTAACAATTTACAGTTTACGAAAAATGAAGGCAGATGCCAAGACCTGATAGCCACATTGGCAAGGCTTTAATTGCTGATCAGTCAGATCCATCTCCTCAGCACATAGTGGACAGGTCTTCTCTCCATGGTCACTAATGGTGGTCTAGAAGAAAGATAATGAGATTACATGAATCATAAGAGTTAAGATCATCAGATAAAATACAAGCAAAAGCCAAACTACGAGCACAACCACCAGACTTGACTAAAAGCTGAAAGGCTACACTTTGACGAGCATCTACAAAAAAAATCCGGAAACTTCACTCATCATAGGAAGAAATACAAGTCAATGCAGATTCAGTATATTCCCAATCAAATCCTAGAGTTTATGTTCACTCATCACGATAGTTATTCTCAGCCATTTCATAAAGTCGGAGAAGTCTTAAATCTACTGTAAGTATTCAAAATTTCAGATTGATGGTAGGAATATAAGAATCAAAATCAGTCAGCACGTACTGCTTGAAAAGAACATCGGAATCTGCTGAAAGGGATATTTAGATCTTGACGAATTGGAGAAACGGCGAGGTTTCGGAGAAGGATCTTTATGCGGCGATTCGAAGAATGAGATTCCCCGGCGTGACTAGCGGTGGTGATGCGTCGTGGATGAGTGAGAGGAGAGCTTCGGCGATGTGAGAGGCCGCTCTCTGAGACGGAGGTTTGACGTTACTGTTGAGATGGTGAGAACGGTGTGGTAGCCGTTAATGTTTCCGGTGGTTCTGATTAGCTCCGCCGCGTTGAACAGCTGATCGACAAATTCGCCGCTGCTGAAACCTCCCACTCCCACCGACGTTACATCTCCGAAGGCACAACTAAAATGGAAAATCGGTGATCGTTTCTTTTTCTCAGCATTTATTTTTATTTCCTAAATTTTTATTTTTTTATTTTTCTGTAATGTAATAAATAAAAGTGGAAAATAATTGACCGTGGAACGATAGATCGAGATGACAGCTTTCATTTCATGGAGCCATGGGGTGCCGAGGATAGCGTTATAGATGGCCGGTTTGTCCATGACGATGAACTTCAAGAGCTTTGAAATTCCGCCGACATAAACGGGGAGCCGGACTGTGCCACAGCTGTAAACATGCTCGGCGGTGAAACCGGTGAGGGGACGGGATGTAGGTTTGATAGATCCTTCCTCCACTCCCATGCGGTTCAGTGTTTCCTAGGAAAGATGAGGTTCACCGTGCTCCCGGTGTCAACCAGGACCTTCGCGACGTCACAGTCGTGGATCTGTAGAGTGATTACGAGTGGGTCGAGGTGAGGGATGTCCAGCCCGCTTGCATCCTTATCCGTAAAGGAGATGTAGGGATCCCTTTATGGATATACGGGTAGCGTTGTGCCGCGACGGCCTTTCGTTCGTATTCCTTGATCGCCGATATGGAATCGTCGTTATCCAGGAGGCCTCCCATGATCATGCTGACTTGTCGCTTCGGTGGTGGAGGTAGGTCGTCGTGGTCATCACGATTCCTTTTCCCAAGCGGGGCTTCCGCCTTTTCTGCATCCTTCCTCGGACGGGGTTGTCGTCCGCGCTTCTCCTTGCCCAGATTTTGGTGGTCTCGGCGGGAAGCTTTTTCCTTGGGACCTATCGCCGTCCATTGGCGGGATTTCTCCTCGATGGTACATGCGCATGAGGTTGCTCATTAGGTGTTTGCAGTTTTCAGTGGCGTGGCCAGTTCTCCCGTGGAACTTGCAGAAAGCTTTGGTATCGTTGTCATCTCCGAGCGAGTTGATGTCTTGTGGCATCGAAACGGCCGCTGCGTGTTCTTGCTCGGACTCGTCGTCGGCTGCTGCGAACGCTGTGAGGAGAGACCTCTTCGGATCGTGTCTTCTTCGTGCCTCCATGGGTTCTCTCTGGGTTTCGACGAGGTTGCCCTCCTATCTCCATGTTTCTCGGCGTAGAAGCGCTGGTCTTCCTCGAGGAAGATGTAGTTCCGAGAGCGGTGGAACGCGTCCTCCAGAGTCGCAGGGGGTTTTAGTGACAAATCCTCCTTAAACTTGGAGTCGTACCAGAGGCCGTTGCGGAGTGCTTCCAGCGGGACGCTATCGGGCATGTCGCCAGTATCGCGAGCTGCTTGTTTGAACCTTTCCATAAAGCTGCGCAATGGTTCGCCTTGGGTTTGCGTTGTGGTGAACATGTTCCGAGTGATTCGGGTCATGTGCATGGAGTAATGCTTCAGAAAAGCATTGGTTAGGTCGTCGAAGTTATCGATCGACTCGGCGGGGAGGTTAGAGAACCAGGTCAAGGCATCTTTCGCCATGTGCTCGACGAATACTTGACAGTAGTTGGCCTCCCTTTCATCGTAAGATTTGTATTTCTCCCTCCTCATGGCGAGGTTGAACGCGGTTAGCCACTTCTTGGGGTCTTCTTCGCCGGTGTAAGAGTCGATTTTGAGTCGAACTCTTTCGTGTAGTTCAATCTGGCGGAGCCTGCGGGTGAGCGGGCTTCTTCGGGTATCGGCGAGTGCTTTCGTCAATTCCGGAGCTGAGCTGGTGGCGCGATGAACTTTCGAATCGACCTCGTCGAGGCGACGATTCATCCGTTCGAGTTCTTGGTGGTAAGTCGCCTGAAGTGCGCGGGACGGGGGGTTGTTCCGTCGGGACTTGACGGATCTTCATCGTCTTCTCGTGCTAGGGCTTCCACCTGTTCCTGAGTCTTTTTCTGCTGTGCTCGCATTGACTCGAAACCGTCGGCGAGTGGCTTGACGAGATTCTCCATGAGTTTGAGGATCTTCTCGCTCGAGGAGGATTTCTTCGAGCTGCGGGGTTTGTCGCTCGAGGAAGATTTTCTCGAGCGGCGTGGTGCGGACGGAGGGGGCTCTCGTCCTTTCTTGGCGGAGGGAGATCGTTGCGGCGAAGTAGATCTTCAGATCTTCGCGGCGAGACGGATCTCTGTGGCGAGAAAGATGGGTTTCTTGTAGGGAGCAGGCTTGTCCCTGCCTTCAGCGGGTAGCGACTTGTCTATCGTGCTGGTAGACTGTCGCTCAGGTTTT